CCCCCACAACAAAAAAAACCCCCAAACCAAAACAAAAGCTAAAAAAAAAAAAAAAAAGTCTTTGAAACAGAACTTGCTCTGAAGTGATGAAGACAACATGCGCTTTGGGGGAAGTTTCCCATCTTTGTTTTAAATCCCAGGTTAATGAGTACAAACATTATTGCTGGCGCTAGCTTCGGCTGAAGTGGCACACACAACACTCTGCACCTGTTTGAGTCCTTAACGCCCCCCCCTTCCTTTTACAGTGACTTGGGACAGCCCTTGTCGGTGTGCCAATCACAGTGGGTGGAGCGGGGGCGTGGGGGTGGGGTCACAGTGCATGGGGTTCAAGGTCACAGTGGGCAGAGCAAAGGGGCTCACAGTGCAAGTAAACCAGGTAGTTCCCTTTGCTCAAGTCCATTTGTCCACCACGGCAGTGCAACCCGTGGCAGCTGACCCTGCTTTCGGCAGCATGATCTCTCGCCCACATTTATCTGCGCTGTTTGAAGCCTTGTGAACCGTCAGGACCCAGTGGCTGCCTAATCACATTGTTGAGCTGTCTGCTGTCTTCTGGCTGGGAGATCCTTGTTGGCCTGCAGGAGAGGAGATCAGAGTCTGTTTTTAAAAGAAGCAATGCTTCTGCCTCACGCCACACACTTCCAATAAATACAGCTAAGCTCAGGGGAAGATCACTGCCATGGCTGCAGCTCGGCAGTACTTCCAAGGCTGAGAAGGCAATGCAGAGTTTGCCAGTCCTGCATTTCTCTGACCCTGCTCTTAAGCAGCCAGGACTCAGCAAGTGCTAGGCACCGCTCTGCTGCTAGGCAATTAAAATGCCTTGGCTCAGCCTCCATTATGTGCAATTATCATCAGCTTCTTTTAAGAGGCCTTTCAAGCAACCACCTTTTCTGCCCCACCCATGTGCAGTAGCTCCATTTATATTAAAAAAAAAAAGAGGGAAGTCTTCTGAGGCTTTTGCAAAGAGGCTGTCATCAACCTGGTGTCAAACAGCCTTCTCCCCCACAACTGCTCCAGGGATTACACATTTAGTTAGAGCACATGCCGGACAACTGCATGTGACAGCCAAATTATTGTGAATGGAGATCAGGAGGCAATGAAGACACATCCACACTTAAAATACTGGGAGGGGAAGAGAGATTCTGATGTTAACAGTCTGTTACTTTCCAATCCGCATTCACTGATACAGCAAGTTTGCAGGGAGACAGACTCAGCTGATCTCACAAGAAGTGAGTCAAGAAAGCCAGCTCAATGCCACAGATGAGCTCCTTTCCCGGTAGCATCCCTCTGGCTCAGAGAAGCCACCAACCTTTTGCAGAAGGTCAATGATTATCAGCACAGGTTATGTCCCCACTGCGGTCAATTATGATCCCTTGCCCTGGTAGGGGCACTTCTAGCTGACCTCTTGGCGCTACCTCCCCAGGCCATGTCAGACAGGGCCCCCGTCCTCAGCAAAGGCATTTAAAAGGCCATGATGAGTGCTGTCACCAGCAGGCATCTATTTTCATTTCTATTATTTATACACTTTGCCAAGTTTGCTAACAGGATGCACCTGCCTCTTAGTGGGGTTTATCTTGCATTTCAAATGTGAAGTATTCAGATCACAATACAGCTCTTCCTCCCTTTGCACGCTACCATCTGCAGCAAGTCATTTGCTGAAGCAAGGGTCAGAAGCAGGGGGGCAAGTGGCATGGCCGCTAAAGCCCAGCACATCTCACCTGTCTAGAATGGGTTTGTCCTGTTCCTCTTCTGGGCTCGCGCTGCCCAGAATTCGTTTTCTGGCTTCTGCGTATTCTGCCTCCCTTTGTGCCAGAGACTTCACGGGAAAGGCTGGTCTGCTCGCAGAGTTGGGGTTACTGAGCACACCATTAGTTGCAGGCCTCTTTAAGATCCTGATCTGCGGGGGAGGACCTGAGGGAAGGCTGTCGTCCTGAATCACAATCGGCACTTTGGGAGGAGATTTTGATTTTCTACTACTGAAGAAAAAAAGAAACAACTGATTAGCGTACAGAGCCGGCTATGAGAAAGGATGTTGGGTTCTGAGCAGGAGCCCTGTGGTTTAACTGTCTCCATCAAAAGCAGCATCTTACCGTAGTCGAAGACCCTGTTACAGTGCCAACTCTGTTACAGGAGTAAACCTGATCATCGGAGATCTGCCCTGTATGCTTAAATCTAACAGGCAGGAAGACCAACCTTCCACACTTCATTAGAAAAAAAGAGGGGGGAAGGGAGAAGAGGTTAGCAGACTGCTGAGCAGAAGAAAATCTCCCTTTTCAGTAACAGGAAAAGAGAGTAAAATTGTTTTGCAACCAGCACCCATCTTACACAATTAAGAACAACATTTTCACGGATAAAAAGTCAGCCGGCAGAGCAGCTGAAATACTCCTTGACACTCAGGAACAAAAAGGGATTTAGGCACTTACAGCTGAACATGTGCTTAAAGCCAACGTTCGGCTTCCAGGAGCAGGGATTCAGACAGCCCTCATCATCAGGTTTAGCCACATCTATGTTTGCTCCATTTCTCCAGGTTTTTTGGAATTACGTCCCCCCCCGCAACCCACTGGCACAATCCCTCCCCACCTTCCCATCATCAAAGTGCAGTCTGATTTTTTAGATGGTGCAGGAAACACAACCCAAAGCCTCCCGATGGCCCAATGAGGATGAATACATTGACCCTCATCAGTATTTTTGCAGCAGGAGGAAGAGAAAGCAGAAGATTACAACCCTCCCCATTTCCTAACTTGCATACAGCAGCAAGTATAAACTTTTCCTCCCTTTCACCAGCCCAAACTAGGATGCAGACAAGCCAAACAAAAAAAGGAAGTCTCACTGGCATACAGCTCAGCAAACCAGATGAGGGCAGGCAGAGATCTGCTGACCTCACCCGTTTCATCGTTTTGCTATCCACGGCATTTATTTATTTACTTTTTAAACGGCTTTTCCAAAGTGGTGGCCATATAAAGATACAAGAATGGCTGCAAATGCTGCCATGGATTACAAGTGCCATCTAGCGGCATGCTGTATTATAAGCCTTCCCAATTCTCAGCTCGGTGAAAAGATTACCCACTACGTTCGATACCTCTAACAGCCCAAGCCCGCCATACCAGCCCTCCAGATTGGCAAGCATCTAGCTGCACCCGGGGAAGACCAGATTAAGAGCATCTCAGACTATCACCATTACCTTTCTTTTTGTGTGATCTTCAGTTTCTTTTCCAACCGTCTATCTATTTCCTACAAGAGGAACGAGAGAAAAAGAGTGAAATCTCATGTCTTAGTCCAGAGTCTGTTTAAAGACACCTGTCACTTCTTTAGTTGTGCTTCTCTTTTACCGCACTATCCTCTCTTGTAAGTCACACTCAAAAGACACAAGTCTTGCTGGGGGGGGGGAGGGGGGGGGAGGGGGAGGAGAAACCCCTAATGGTAA